CCGCCCGGACCTCCCTCCGCTCAGCCATGGTCAACCCCACCGTGTTCTTCGACATCGCCGTCGACGGCGAGCCCTTGGGCCGCGTCTCCTTCGAGGTCAGGCGGGCGGGTGGCGGCGCGCCGGAGGGCCTGGGCGGGCGTGCTCGGGCAGGCGGGGGGCGGCGGAAGGAGGGCGGTGGCCGAGGGGCTCGGGCGGGCGCCCCGCCTGAGGAGCGCGGCGGCGCGGCGCCATTTCCTGACGAGGGGCCATTTTGGGAGGTCGGGGGCGGCGGGCAGACAAAGGCTGGCGGGGGAGGGGCGGCCGCGCCCTTCCGGCCGCGCACGTGTTCGGACCGCGAGCCGTTGGCCGCCGCGCGGACCGCGGGCCCTGCGGGTTGGCAACGCCCCGAACGGACGGCGGGCGCCGCCCTGCGCGCTCTGAAGCCTCGCGTCGCTTCTGGCGGCGGCCGCACCTGAGGGCCGCCTTTCCCGCGGCGGCCGACGGGGAGAGCAGGGCTTCCCCGGGGACCGCCGGCCGGTGGAGGGCTCGCGCGACGGCCCGCCGGGAGTCCACGTCCCCGCGTGAGGCAGTCCGGTCGCGTAGACGAGGGCCCGGGCGCCCCTCCCCGCCTGCACCCCGAGCGGAAGCGTGCTGGCGCGGCGGCCCGCCTCCCGCCGTGGTGACGACGCCCGTGGGCGGCGCCCCCGTGCAGTTGGGGCGAGGTCGGACTGGCAGCCGGCGGCCTCTGCAGCGCAGGCAGCTCTCCTCGGCCGGCGCGAGGCTGTGGGGAGCGCTGCCGCCCGTGGCGGGGCCGCGCGGGTGCTCGCGGGACGGCAGGTGCGGCCCAGCGTGGCGGGGTTGGGGGGGCCGAGCGCTCCGACCCAAAGCCCGGCTGGGAGGGCTCGGGCCTCGTCCCGGGAGGGTTTCCCCCTCGCTGCCTGCCCCGTGCGCGGCGCCGGGCCCGCGGCTGCAGAGACGCGACATCCTGACCGGTCCGCCCGCCGTTATCCGCAGCCATCTCACAGCTGTCGGGGGCCGCGCGGAAACTTGGCCTGAGCCTGACGCTTCGTGACTTGTTAATGTCGGGTGAGCCGGAGCGCTCGGTGGAAACGAGATAGGATCGCCGCTGCCGCTTGGCGAGAGCGGAGGTGGAAGTGCCAGGAAGGGCTTTAGTCAGGTCTGAGGGAGAGCGCAGGGACGCCGGCGAGGAGCGCGAGGCGGGAGGTGTCAGGCACACGGCTTAGCAGCTCGCAGCTGTCAGCCGCAGGTCTCGAGGTTCTCAAGGCGCTCACGCCGTCTCTGTGAAAGGGCGTGAAGTGATTTCTGGGCTGTTCAGACGCCTCTGGCCACAGTGTTCTGGACGTGCAGCAGAGGTTCCAAGCAGACGCACTGGAAACCAATCTTTATATTTTTTACCCCACTAGTAGGTCAGGGACCTGGAAACCAAGAAGGGACTGCTCATCTAATCCATTAAAGCTATGTTAACAGATTGGAGGTAGTAGCATTTTCATTACCAGCGACTAAATCTCAGCAATTGACCCCGATTGTGTAGCAGGAGTGCTTGCGACTCCTGAGTGTTTTGTTCTTCGGTTCCAGCTGCAGTTGGGGGAGGTGACGCACATTTGACAAGCCATAGATCTGTTTAGAAGTAGGCGCGATATCGCTTAAGAGCTCTAAGTCAGTTTTTAGAAGTTCACACTATTTGAGTCTTCACAGGCTCCGGATTTTTGGCATGTCTTTGGGTCTCATGTTGCTTGCCCCGGCCTCCCAGGATGTTAAGGCTGTCTGGAGCAGTTCTTTGGGATCCAAAGTAATGACTGAAGAAGCATTCTATTCGAGTGAAGATGCATTTGATTCAGAAGCCCCTAAAAACATGGGTATTTGTAGTAAAATCTGTAAGCAGGTGTTAATTCACTAATTTTTCTCTTACAGCTGTTTGCAGACAAAGTTCCAAAGACAGCAGGTTAGTTCCTTTTAAATTTAATAAAGGCAGTCCAGTTTTAATTGTTGTATACATACATGTATATACTTCTTTTTTTTCCTAGAAAACTTTCGTGCCCTGAGCACTGGGGAGAAAGGATTTGGTTATAAGGGTTCCTGCTTTCACAGAATTATTCCAGGATTTATGTGCCAGGTACGAAATTTACGGATTATCATTTGGGTTGTGGCCTTAATTTGTGATTGAGCCAGTACCATTCAGGATGTGTACATATGAGCTGTTAATTATACCATTTTGGTTCCACTTAAACCCAGTCAGTTTAAACTTGACTTTGAAGTGTGAACCTTGCAGACTTGACACATTTTCTAAATGTGTTGCCAAAGGTGACAGGTTCCTCTTTTATTACGTTCACAGGGTGGTGACTTTACACGCCATAACGGCACAGGTGGCAAGTCCATCTATGGGGAGAAGTTTGAAGATGAGAATTTCCTCCTGAAGCATACAGGTCCTGGCATCCTGTCCATGGCAAACGCTGGACCCAACACAAACGGTTCTCAGTTTTTCATCTGCACGGCGAAGACTGAGTGGTAAGGGCAGAGCCCAGCAAAGGCAGCCAGGGGACACAGCGCTTCCCCCTTTCATTGCTGTTCTGTCTGGAAGGTGGTACAAGGCACACATCCCTACACGTTCAGATGGTTTGCTATAGAAGCAAGATGGGTTGTAATGGAGAAATGGCCCTTGGCTGGCTAGCTTCATGAAGGGTGGTGCTTCATCTCCTCAGATGTGTTTGACCCTTTTAGGGGTCTGTTCTAAACTCAGTGATTCTTAACCACTCTTGGAGACTTACACCATCTGTGGTGTTGCCTTTTCTGTCAGGTGGAAGGATCAAGTAGCGTTTCTAGTGTTTCACGAGGCTGCAGGAACTAGTGTCAGAGGCTAGATAAGCCACCACTCTGCTGCTGCTCCTGGTCGGGGGCGCCCATCTTACCTAAACGCAAATGCAGCTGCTGCTTTGCCTCTGGCTTCTGCTGGTAGAGCTTGTTCTTGTGTTACAGGTTGGATGGCAAGCATGTGGTCTTCGGCAGGGTGAAAGACGGCATGAATATCATGGAAGCCATGGAGCACTTTGGGTCCAGAAATGGCAAGACGAGCAAGAAGATCACCATTGCTGACTGTGGACAACTCTGATGCATTTGACTGGTTTTATCTTAACCAGACCATTCCTTCCGTAGTCAGGAGAGCACCCCTGCCCCATCTGCTCGGAACACCCCATTATCTTTGTGCTCTCGCTGCAGTTCATTGGGTTCCATATTTTCCTTGCCCCCTCCAAGTATAGCCTGGGTTGCAGAGTTAAGTTTATGATTATGAAATAAAAGCTAAACAACAGTTGTCTGTCCTTGTTTGGGTTGGGGTGTTGGTGTAGGTGTAGGTTTCATTTTAAGCAGTAACAGGTTACTTCTAAAAGACGATACTAGCTGTCAGCTTAATTCCAGAATACTTTGTTTTTTAGCTTTCCTGACGGGATAATTAAATAACAGCTGTATCCCCAAGGAAAGCTGAGTGGAATGATAAAGGTGTGGATGGGGCAGGAAAAAACAAGGAGCTGGAACTTAAGGACTGACCAGTTTAGATCAAGAACTGAAGTTCCCACCTGGCACCTTCAGAGTTAGCCATCAAAATTACTGCTGTCACATTGAAAACCAGCTTGTGTGAACGTAGTGCACACCTTGAGGGAAGTCTGTCAGGCTGTAGGCTCAGGGGAAGGGTCCTGGGACCACTGGGCTGTTGAGCAAGTAAATGACCAGTTAAGGGTTGATAATAAAGCTTAATATGTGCAATTATTGACAACTGAGTCTTGGTGAGAAGCGGGTACCTGGTGCTGTGGTGGGTGAGGGCATCTGGCTGGGTTAGGGCCCCTCCCCATGGTCTGAGCTATGGAGACCCTTGCTCATGGTCATTCGAGGTCTTGCAGTCCCTCTAGTGTGAACCTGGCCCACCTGAGCCCTAAAATCTAATTGAGATGAGGTCCTTTCCTTTGGTGAGCTTGGTTTCCTTTAAAATCCAGTATGCAAATACAGTGCCAGGAGGGATTACTGTGTGAAGGTCTGTCAGGACAATTTAGTGGAGGTGAGCTAGAACACCCTCTGCAGTCCCCCTCCCAGCAAGCTGTCCCAGTTTGGGGGCATCACTCCCAACAATCACTTCTAGAGGTGTGAGATGATGCACTTGACCCGCTGTCCCTGAATTTCAGTCCTATATTTACTCCTGTTCTCTAGGTGATGAACCCCAGGACATTTCATCAGCCTGACCTTTGTTCCCTTAATAAACTAGTCCTAGGTTGAGCATGCACACCTGATTTATTGCTTTTATTGATCGAACAAGTGTCTAGGGGACCATGTTGGTGACTGGAAGAAAAAGAAATGGGGAGGGAGGTTCCTGCCTCAGCTTCTGGAGGTGAAGGCAGGCCAGGTGCTGGGAGTTTGCAGCGTCCTATGGTGTTAGCATGTGTCAAGTGGCCTAGTCAAAAAGTTACGAGCAGAAGGCTCAAGCAGGACCTACATGTGCAAAAAGGTCATTTCCAGTACCTTGTCTGCTCTTCATTTCTGCTGCTGAGCAGCTGTCGCTGGGCCCTCAGGCCACCCATAGAAAGTTGCCCATGGGTAAGCGGTGGCTTACCTCTTTCAGAACTTGAGTTTGCAGCATGAGTCACATCTCACACAGTGGGCACTTGGCTTCCTGGGGTTGCCAGTTAAGAATGTGGACCCCTGGGATTTGTCCAGCCTGTTCATGAATCCCAGGGCCTAGGCGATGCCTGGCCCAGAGAGGACTCAAATACACAAGTCAACTGAGTGGAACTTGAACATAGATCCTGTTCTTGTATTTCTCCAGAATTATGAACTTGACATCTTTTATATTGTGACACACACATACAGAAGCACACTGTATTGGGTATCCACTACTCTTGATTATCCCAAAGCTGATGCCTTTCAGCAATAGCTCAGTTTCTGTGGGTTTTGGGGAACTTAGGACCCCACAAAGCTCATCTGGGTGTAGGCGCAGGTCTAATACCAGCAGCCCTAAACATCAGACCTGGATTTGGGCAAATTGCAGTTTTTCTTTGGCACCTGTGTCCCTCAATGGCTGAAAGCTTTAGCAGTCAAACGCTGTTGAAACCGCAGGTAGACTTGCTGGATGCAGGTTGCCAGACCTTCACTTTGTAAAGAAGGCAGGACCTGTGAAGCACAAGAGAGCCAAGAGCCATGACCGAGGTCGGCCTGCAGGTTTCTCTCTACCCTGACATTTCTTGGACCATTTGAGTCCTGAGTTTACGGATAGGATCTCCTTTTCCCCCCCGCTTAGATGTATTTATTGATAAAGCACCTATATTATGAGGAGAATGTCTTGAAGTATGGATATCATTACTTTCAAGTTCAAATAAAGTTGAATAATCTGAGAAAAACCAAGTTCATGGATAGAGAATATTGGCAGCTGCAAGGCTGGTGATAGAAATGGGTGAAGGGGTCAAAAGGTACAAAGTCCCAGTTATAAAGTAAGTCATGGGGATGTCATGTAAGCCTGGTGACTCCAGTTAATACTGTATTACATATTTGAAAGTGCTAAGATTCCACCTTAACCTCAATCGCAAAAAAGCTGCAAAATTCACTCTCTGGAGCATTTGAGATCTGACTCTCCAAAATGTCAGTTTGGGTCAAATAGATTCTTTTTTGTTCAGCTGAGCCATCCTGCCACCTGTTGGCAGCTCAGCTTGGGCCAGGAATCGAACTAGCGACCCTGTTGCTCAGAGCTCGCACTCTTAAGCCAACTCTTCACCAACTGAGCCACTTGGCCAGCCCTCAAATAAATTCTTGTAAAAAGTCTGGGAAGGGCCAGGTGAGTGGCTCAATTGGTTAAGAGCGCAAGCTTTGAACAACAGGGTCGCCAGTTCGATTCCCACATGGGCCAGTGAGCTGCGCCTGAGTTGAGCTGCTGCTGAGCTGCCAACAGGTGGCAGGATGGCTCAGCTGGTGAGAGCACGTGCTCCTAACAACAAGTTCGCTGGTTTGACTCCTGCGCAGGATGGTGGGCTATGCCCACCTGCAACTAAGCTTGAACATGGCACCTTGAGCTGAGCGGCCGAGAACTGCTGACAGGTGGTTGGATGGCAACTGGACTTGGGCTGAGCTAGCTGCACTCTCCACAACTAAGATTGAAGGACAACTTTCAGCTTCCCCAATTCTCCAACACTGTTCTCCTTCCCCAACTCCCCAATAAAATCTTTTAAAAAGGGGGGGGGCAGGGGTATCAGCTGCAATGAACATTAGAGCACATATATCTTTTAAAAAAATAGTTATAAAAAAAAAACTCTGGGGAAAAAAAATAGTCGCTAAGGGATTTTTTAAAAAGTTCTCATCACAAGAAAAACAATTCTGTAACTGCAGGGTGATGGATGTTAACTAGACTTACTGTGATCATTTTGCAATATATACAAGCACTAAAGTATGATGCTGTGCACCTGAAACTATTGGATGTCGGAAAAGTCATAACGTATTTTTTCTGTGTTTTTCTTTGCAAAAATGCATCATGACTTTTCCAACAACCCAACAGTATGTGGTATGGCACTTACACCTTAAGGAAAAAACCAAGTGACAAATTCAACCACAGGCACCAAAGCCAGTAGTATATTTCACACTCCCACTTCAAATCCCTCTTCAGTTGTCCTAACTCCTCATAGAAACATCACTGTTCATTCTCAAGACATTATTTGTGTTGCTGCCGTGCTCTGCGGTTTTCCCAGATGCACCCCACTCTTCAGGCCTGGTCCAAGTCCCTTCTGTTTGTTAAAAGATGCTCTCCTCTGAAGGGCTACTGCACACATCTGTGCCATGCCATTAAAAACAGGTCTGGAATAATGTAACAAATTTTAGATGGTAAAGTAATTCAGCTGGATCTGTTAAACCTTTTAAAGGAAAGCTTTCTTTTAGATACCTATTACAGATGAAATGATGTGATGGGTGGGACAGGCTTTTTAATAGAAGCCAGCAAGAAGGGCACAGATGAAGCAAAATGGACCACTTGTGGGGGTGAGGCCCAGAGCATACGGCTCATTGCTCAGTTTTTTTTTTATTAGAAAACACAACACAATCCCGGGGACACAGTAGGTAGTCAAATAACTACACTACCAAAAGGAAATCGATATTTGAAGCAAGTATCTAGAAAACTCCAGCAAGAACCCTATTCTCTGTTGATTGGTACCTTCTCCCCTATTGCTACTTTGGCTTCTGAAAACTACTAAAAGTTCACACAAGGGTAATTGGGGTCCTCTCAATATAGAAACTTCAAAATATGTGCCAATATATATCAATCAGAATCTGAGATTTTCTTCCTGTCCTGCCTTATAAATAAATCAAAGGGCAAAAGTTCTTTTTAGAATTCCAGATGCAGAAGGGATGACAGGGTATCCCGGTGGGCAGTTCCCAACGGAATCCCCGATTAGGGCAATAATGACTAATGGCGGCTAAAACTCTCAGGAGGAGCCCCAACTGGAGAACTTCACAGTGAATGCAATGGGCTGTCAGCATCCAAACCCACCATCAATTCTAACATTACACGATGAAGACAGGCAGGAAATGGGAGATCCCTGATGTGACATAGCAGGAAGGACATAACTATCACCTATGAATTATTTTTTTGAAAAAACAAAATGTGGGGCCGGCCGAGTGGCGCGATGGTTAAGAACTCGCTTGGGATGCCAGAGGGCCCCGGTTCGGATCCCACATATGAGGGCCAGTGACACT